TTAGAACCCGCTACTGGGTTATCAATTAATTTGTTCGTTGTAGCCGATGACCCCAATGTAACAGCAAAAAAATCTTTGTCGCCTCTAAAGTTGTCAAAAAATGTAACTTTGATACTTGTTTTTCTAATACCTTGATTAGTACGGGTTCATAAAACTTATGTTCGGTGGTTTCCTTTTAGGCGTCGTTGAGATTAAACGTTAGCAGGTTCCTTGGTGCAGGTTCCTCTGTTAGCAGGTTCCATTTCAAAACTTTCGCCAGTGAAAGATTGCTTATATCCTTTTCCGAATTGGACATCAGTTTTGGCTATTCTAACAACATCGCAAAGTTAGAGTTGTGGTCGACAAACTAGTTTCAATAAATGTTCCGTTCAACAATGCAATTTGTTGTGCAACGTGCTCTTTGTCACCTCATTAAGAGCTAATTTGATGCCACTGTTTGTTATCAAGTTTCTTGTGATGACAAACTCTTGAAGCTTATCGATGGAACAGTAAGTATATTTGTCCTTCAATATCTATATATCAAATTTTTTAGTGATTGAACGTTACTTCCCGCAGAAACGGACTTTTTTCACTCTCTGTTGTAAAAAGTTCGAGGCTTTCTTTCACATATAAAGTTTTAAAACACACTTAAGACTTTATCTCCACAGATTTTTTTGGCTGTTTTTTTTTCAATTTTTTGCGGTGCTTTAGTTTGGTTTTAATAGCTGCATACGTAGATGGTGAAACATGCAACCCATTGCAACCAAAAGACTTTTTTTCATCTCTGGTGTAATCTGATAGTTTATCAATGTAAGAAAGGTCAACTGACTATTTTTTTTCTGTGTCACAAACTATCAGTTTCAGACGCGGTGTTTTTCAACAAACTGTTCAAAATTTTGAATATGCAGGGCTCTGTTTGTGAATAATGTACCGCTTTCCTTCGTGAAATTTTGTTGCGTCTTTTAGTTTCTTTACTCTACCAAACAGTTCTGGATATTTTCTTGAAGGTTTATTTTTTTGTTGGTTGTCTTCAGCTGCTGTTGATTGGCTTTTTCTGTCTACGTCCTTTTTGTCGCTGCAGAATCAGAATTGTTTTTAAATGATCCGTATTATTCGGATTTTTTATTTTCTTTTTGTTCATTCCGTTTGGTTTTTTGCGCTGCCCGTTTTCTTTCATTGTCTGCGACAGGCTTTTTGGTTCTGAGTGTTTTACTGCTTTTTGTGCTAGAAATTGTTGACGGTTTTTTGGACTAAAGAATGACTTTGCAAGCTCTACTTTTACGCTATAATCTTAATTGTTGATAAAAGTAACCCTACAGAAAAATTGCCCTGGATTGAATGGAGGATGCTCAGTAAAACAGTTTATAACTTTCTCTATGTTTAAAATCGAAACTTTGATGGGAGTTTTCATGTTTCTTGCACAGCAACCCGTTTTGTTTTAATCACCATTTAGTTTATGAAAAACTTTGAATCAAATATTGCTTCTGGCTAATCTGTGCAGACAAAACATCGACTCTGGCGTTTGCAAACACTGAAGTTCTTTGCCTTAAAACTTTTCCTGCTTAATTTCATACTACTGATTCTACTTTTTGAATAGAGAAGTTTATCTACGAGACAACACAACTTAAAATTATTCCAGCAGAGTATGCTTTCCATTCGACAAATAAACGGAAGTTTTGCAAAAATTTGAAGAACAATTACTTGAATCAGGTTTTTGACGCAAACAAAGATTGTTGTTTGAAGAATAATTTGTTAGAAAGTGCTTTGCAACTTGATGTGTAACATCGAATGTTTTTGACATTTCAATTAGTTTGATCAGAATAACTTAATTGGATGAGAGTTTGACTTGAACAACTGTGTTCACTGACTGCAGTCTTTTTTAACAGCAAATCACCTTTCATTGATAATTGTAGCGTTTTAGACATTTACTGTTTGATAATTGATGGATTTTGGATTTAATTAACAATAACCATTAATCATTGAAGATAATATCAAGAACTCTTTCTTCTTCGCGTTCTGTACCCTTCAAGCAACCATTTATCTTCATTTCAGTGTCTTTTCAAGAAGGTTACCTTAAACATGGTATCTATCCACGGTAACAAGAAAATGAGAACACCATCGATGATCGAGTCGAAAAAACTTCAATGAAATGATGAGAGAACTATAAGTAGAATTCCTGGTATTTCAGAAAAACGCGCTGGTTAATTTGCAATCACACTTATTACGCTATGTTAAAGCTCAACCTGTTTTTGGAATCAATAATCGAATATTTTATTGAAAACTTATCAAGTGTTATTTAATATTGTATCTTACCTGCAAGGAAGAAGTAGAGTCAACAGTTATTAGCTAATCAAACTATTTTTTTTATCAAAATGATGATGCACAATTTTTGTATCGAATTAAGGAACTTTTTGAGAAGAACAACAACCTAGGATTCAATTCCGAAAGACTGTAAAGATAGCGAAACCAAATCACTTTTCCCTACCAATGGTTTGGAAGTCTGAACAAACTTGATTGTACCGAATTGTCAGCATAAAAATCCTTTTTCTAGGTTAAGAAGAGCAACCCACCTGATAGAAATTTTCGTGATTACCAGATACTTGTTAAAAGTGACTTTAATTGAAAAAAAGCATTGCAAATTGCAAGCATGTCAAAATTTTAACACAATGCTATAACAAGAAAAATCTTATTCTACGCAAAAATTGAATGAGTCTTATGAGATGAAAGAAATCGAAATGTGGAAATTGGCTTGCATGCTTCAAATATTGCAAGTGTTTGTCTAGATAAAACGACAAATCATATATTGTACCCGTTTTTGAAGAGGATAAGGATTCGTATGAGAAAATGCAGAAGGATTGACTTATATACTATCAAATTCCACAGTTTGGTAAAAAAAATTCCACAGTCAAGAATAAAATCAATGCAAATTTTCCTAATTAAACATCTCCATCTACTACTTGGTATTTGAGCAGATCTAGTTTTGACCAGGTTCAATGTGATTTGATGAATAGTGACGTATTGAAAACTAAGTTTTCAGTTTTCCTTCAATTTCCAAAAATATTGACATTGGCCGAACTAATATTGGAGAATACCTGAAACACTTTGCCAAGGAGAAGAATTTTCCCACAAATCCACAGCTGAAGCTAATCATCAACAAAATCATCAACACAATCATCAAAAATGGCACAATCATCAACACCTTCTTAATTTCTTATTTAGACTTGGATTTCGATGCCCAAAAAGTATTTTTTTAAATTACACGCGTAGGAAATTTTGAACAAATTTGTTCAGTCTGTTGTAGATGCTCGACAAGAAGGCGATTAGAATCACCTGTTTGAAGTTGTTGGTAACACCATGAATCTTCTGAGTCACAGCTGGTAGTACGGTTACCAAGTCATGGGTAGATCGAGGCATTTATCATCGAAGCATCTCGGCGATAAAAAGACCCATTTGTTGTAATATAAGATGAAGTAACTCAAAAAATATAAGTTGTATTTTTAAGGGTGAGGGAAAACTTGAACATTTCATAAAAATTTTTTGAGTCCTGTTCAGGTTATTGTTGGAATTTTAGCTTTTGTTGAGATATGGATAGATTAACATGAATTTGATGAGTAATAATGCATAGATGCAGGCTAAAATTGAACCATGTATAAATTTTTGAAGACAATTTTGATGCTTAACATTTTTTTCATACCTATAGTTAAAAAAATAAATATGTTAGAGAGTTAGAAAATGTTGTAACATGACCTTGATGAATCATAAAACAGGCGATGATGCGGAAACTCGTCATCACAAAAATTTTAAACTAAATTTTTGCAGCGTCACTGTTTCTATATGCATAACCATAGTTAAAAAATTAACCATTAATGAGCTAATAGGTGATGTAATTTGACCTTGATGAGTCATACTACATATGATGAGGCAAGACTTACACAATTCAAAAATCCTGAGATTAAGTTTTGGATGCATTAACCTTTAGCTCCTTAACAAAGATCAAACATTAGTTGTTTTTGAGATATAATTTGATGTAACCTGATCTTGATTATTCTTAATGCATATGATGAGGCAAAACCCGAAGACTGCATTTTATGATAAAATTTTTCGATTCTGAATGATTTCTGTTTTCATGTCCGTTTTTGCAAAGTTAAGATTTTTTGAGATTTAAAATGCTGTAGCATGACCCTGATGAAGCATACTACATATTATGATCAATGCATATTTGTTAGACTTAAGTTATTAGTTAGGTTTAAATTCTGAGCAACTGTCATGTTAATTACTTTAGTAAAAACATTTACTGTTTCTAAGACTTAAAATGATATATAACGATGAGTCTCATTGATGATATAATATGATCCTGATGTTCACTACTTTTTTTGAAAAATCAACAGTTAATGAGTTATCAAGGGGTGTAACTGGACCATGATGAGTCTTATTACATATAATGATATGATGTGCCATTATGGACAAAATGCAAACCTTGTGGTGACATAATTCACAATGCGAGGTAGTTTCTGTGTTCAATCATTCTGCAAAAAAAAAACATTATTTTTTGAGATTTAAGATGATGCAACGTGACATCGATTAGTCTTTCTACATTAGCTGAGGCAACAATTGAACAAGGCACAACATTTTTTGCAAACATCATCTTATAATTTTTTTTTGGCAAATAATTTTCTAGGTTTCACTCAGTATCGAGCTTGGCTCAAACTATTTCTGACTCAAGTCCACTTTGAGATAAAAATGAAGAAGCTAAAAAACTCCAAAAGCTAGTTTTAGCTGCCCTAATTTAATGAAGAAGCTAAAAAAACTCCAAAAGCTAGTTTTAGCTGCCCTAATTTAATGAAGAAGCTAAAAAACTCCAAAAGCTAGTTTTAGCTGCCGTAATTTAAGTTTTAAGGTCTTAAATTAGGCATAATTCAGCTGAGTAAGCTTGCTTCATTCGCTCAAATTAAGATATTAGACAAAAAATCAAAAAAAAATTGATACCAGTTTTTCACGAGACTGGAAAAAAACTTCGGAAATATTTTAAATTGGTTCGAATCACGACTAAAAATGCTTGAATTTGATTGATAACTCAACGCAGTCCGATGATTAATTTTAGTATCGATGATTTTGCGTGGCGCTTCAGTCATATTGGAAGTTCGCAGTTTTTTTACAGGCAATTGAACTTTCATTGAAGCTTGTAGCAGCTCAGACAAGTCTCCGTTGATAGGAGACTAGGAAGAACTGTAAAATAATTAGCAACACACAAGAAACTTCCGTCCGTTGGATCACTGAAAATAATATCGGCATCATCCGTCAAAACACTAAGCCCCATCTTAGCGTGTTTCCATGAAGAGAACCATTGGTATTCCGCTTGTTTCGTCGGATCAGAAAACGCATACCACCGTTTCCAAATATCAGCGGTCACTGCCAAATACTCTTTTTTACTTTTGTTGTAGCAGATACTAGTGAGACCCTTCTTATTGCGCCCTGAGGAAAATGCATTATTTTCATTCTTGTTGAATGTTTGCACTTCTTGTCCACTTTCATGGATAATAATCGATTATAATGTCATTTTATAGTCAGTAGACATAAAATAACAAAAGTAATAACAAACTTTTTGCGTTTCTTAGGGAACGTGTTTGTTCGAGTTCTAAATTTGCAGAACGTTGATTTTTTAACAATTTGGTGTCATTTTGATGCAACTGTCCAAAATACTCATCCATATGTTTCAAGAGTTCAATTAGCTGTAAACAATTTTTTGCAGAAAAAAAAGTTTTTCATGGATTTTTGTGGCCCATAAAAATTGATTATTTTGTCAAAATAATCGATTATAAAGATTTTTTAAATATTGAAAATATTCGATTATAATCCCCTAAAAATCTATTTTCATAGTTGAATGGGTCGATTATCTATATGGGTGAAGTTTTTTGCCGATATAATCCATTATAATCAACTATTTCATAAAAAAACTATTTACCTTGGCAAGCACAATTTGAGTCTTAGCAATTGGGATTCTGCTCCTTTCGTGAGAACCAGTTGATATTTCCCACCAGCTGAAGTGCAACTGGTGATCTTGAAGTCTTTGGGAGCCACCACATCATACGTGTTCTCAAATGTCACAATTATCTGTTCACTCCCGAAATCTGACACCATGATAACATAAAAAATATCAGTTTCTGAATCAGCTTGAAGAGAATAAACAAATCGCTCTTTGCAGTTTTTGTTATTGTATCTGTTCTGGATAACACCGCGGACTTGTTCCCAGGTACCACTTATACCCACTACTGACTGGTCGGTATATGAATTGTTAAAGATACTGTAAAGATATTTGCCCTGAATGCTTTGCGATATCATTTCTTTTCTAGATGGTAGCCTCCAATTATCCAACTTTATCGGTCTCAAAGCGTTTTCTTTTTCTACAGAGTGGAGTACCTCGATTAGTTCTTCGTACTTGTAGCCTCCATCCTTTGAGGCACACCCCTCAATCCCACTGAATTCAGGAATTCGTTCGAGCGTTCCACCTTTTCCACATAGGTAACACGTGAAGTCACCACCTTCACCTAAATTACAAAAAATGAAAGTAAGTGAATTGGCAAACGCCGGGAGAATTTCGCAGCCATAAGGAAATTCAACACTCAAATAAATCAATACGCTCAAAAGTAATATGCGAATCAATGCATAAAGAGAAACAAGCAAACTGCTACACAAAACTGGATTTTCACTATCAAACGAAAACCAACTAATCGCAAGAATAGCCGGTTGCTGTGGCAGTAGCACAGAATGTTCCGACCATATCATTCAAAAAAAACTTCAAAAAGATTTTTTTTTTCAAATTTAAGTCATTGTTTGTATGCAATTTGATTATAAAAAATTCAAAAGTATAGAAAGTAAGTGAACTAGGAATAATGGAAATCATTTGTCAAAAGGAAAATTGCAGAAAATTTAAAAAAAGGTGATTTTTCGAGGTAGCCCTAAAATGTTTTGGAAAACTTATTTGACAAGGAGGCGCCAATTTGAGTAAGGTTTTTGCCCAAAAAGATAAAAAAAAAGCTTTTATTTTAGTAAAATTACAATTTCATAGCCTAAAAATTTCATATAACGACGTTAATCTTTGTTTGAAGCTTGAATTATTTAGTGAGTACATTTATTCAGACATAAGATACTCACAGGGATCGACTCACGGGCCCTGAGGCCCCTCGAGGAGACGTCCCACAAGGTAGACTTTTACAGAATAAGTTGAGGAGAAAAAAAGCAGGATTTAGATCACTTGTGAAATATCCAGTGAAGTAATTCAAAATTGTCTGAAACAAAATTACGTTTAGTGTTTTGTACTTATGAGCTCAATTGAGATTTTGACATAACTTTCAAGTTCAACGGAAAAAGATTATTCGCCGAAAAAGAATTGCAAAACTTGAGCACTTTAACGCTAGCCGATTTTAACAAGCAGTTAAATTTAACAGATTTTGAACGTAGCTTTCTCAAGCTACGGGCACGTGTTTGCCTACAGTTATTTATTTGATTAAAATCCAAAAATTTTAATGGCGATTTACCGAGTATTTGATAAATAACTTCTTGAAAAACAGTATCTAGAAACAATTCAAAAACGGTATCAATATTATATTCTGAAAAATTTTCCGTAATGTGATCAAATTTGCATTTGCGCCTAAAGAAAATAGTTCTAAGAATTCGCTAAGAAATCGCCTTAATCGCTCAAAATTAATCTGAAAATCAATAAAATTAATTTGTGAAAAGTTGATTTTTGGAAAAATGGATGAAAGAGCTCAAAAAAATGACATATCAGTCGACCCATTCCGATGATTATTTTTTGGTACCTCAAATTGAGCTGAAAAAAAGGAAAAAATTAAAATATACTCAAAACCAAAATTTTAATGATCGGAACAACAAAACAATCATACTTCACACTTTTGTTATGACATTTGCCTACGACTCCTGCATAGAACAATTGGGTCCTTTCATTACGAGATCAAACTGTGCACTGGATATGCGCACCATTTTGTGTCTGTATTTTCCTGGATTCCAGAAACAACTCTTTAAACATTTCCCAAAACGTAAGTGGATTCCACCTACAAAGTTTCCATAGATTCCGCGTAAAAATACCAGTAACGTAAATTTTGTCGGCATATCAGTTTTGCTGGGGACTCCGGTTCGAACGAATTGCGTAGTTGTTCCGGATTCCGCAAATACAAGCGGATCCCGCAAATTTAAGTGGATTCCCCAAATATATGCAGATTCCGCTTAGAATTTGCGGAATCCGCCCACAGTTTGTTTTTTGTTCGCTGACATTTTGCGGGTTCCGCTTAGCATTTGCAGATTCCAGTTACAGTTGCGGATTCTGCGACAGCCTAAGTTTAAATAACACATATACTAGGATCTGCTCATGGATTTCACGAAGTATTCCGGAAATCGCAAAATTTGTTGAGGATTCCACAATGGTTGTTGCGGATTCCGCAAATTTGCCTGTTTTTGGAGCAATTATGAGCAATACAGTGTTTTAACTATTTGTCCGTGGAACCCAAAACAGCATAGAATATCAAATTAAAGTAGCGATGTTTCGGGTTACATGACAAATCTGATTTTGGCTGGTTGCGAAATTGGCTTACAATTCAGAAAATGCACAATTCGGTTTTGTAATGATAATTTTTCGCGCTCGATATCAATGAACCTTTGTTCGGGGTCAAGAGAAGTTATCAAATCACAAATTAGTTCTTCCCCGTTAGTTCCTTCAGTTGTTTAAATTTTTTCGTCACAGGCATCGTTGAGTATCAAAAAGATTTTTAATTATGTTTTATTGTTCCGCAATAAATCAAGCGTCTCCAGTTTGAGAGGTGTATATTTTTTAAGATCTCGCAAAACCATTGTAGAATTTAAAAATGACTCTTTAGAGTGATAGATAATGAGGCTAAAATTGGGGGGGGCATGGTGGACCCCATGTATTAAGATACTTTATAGATTTCCGGTCCGCCATGCTAAGTATTAAGATTAGGTATAGAGTCTACAATATATTTAGATAGGGGAAAAATAATGATAATGCTTCAATCTGATATTAAGAAAAAGAAAAATGGTATTTGTTTGGGTTTTGTGTGGAAGTGTCTAGTTTTTTTCGCAAAAAATTTGGCGCGCGTTATTTAACTGTTAAAGATCACTGTTTATTTACATGTAGTTTGTGCAATGAAGTTCTGGTAATTAGTTTTTTGGTACATGGTAAATCAATGGTATTTTTTTTGGGTAAAAATTGAGATTTTTTATCAAAAAATTGAAAAACTTTCAAAAAATTTTCAAAACCCGATAAGATTTGGTATAAATCGAACTATTAACGCTTTTATTAGGTGATATTACTTTTTGAAACAGTGTTCATCTGCCTGAGTTATGCTGAAACCTTTTGAAACTTCGCAAAATCAGTTTATTGAAAAAAAATAAATTACAAAACCAATAAGGAAATCACTGCATCGTATAGTAAATTAACTGTCATAATTAAGAACTAGAAAAAAAACACTGATAAATTCAAAACATGCACAGCAAGAATATTTTTGAAGAATCTCTTGTAGAATTTCAAAAGAAGAAATGGTGAAAGAATTGCTTAAAGTCTGCACAAACTCTCACTTTTTTGTAGTTTTCTGGAAACATTTCGCAACTGCTTTTTTGTTGGAAGAGAATAAGTTGTTCTTCTTTGACCCAAGGGATCAGCAAAGTAGTAAGTTTTGTTCAGTAGAGCAATCATAAACCGGTGGTCTCCTCTATCATTGCTTGAGGCTGAGTTGATTATTGCAAAAGAGTATTTTGTTACTTGAGGTACTTTGTCAGAGAGGTAAGATCCGATGTACTGAAACCTGAGCTCAGGAATTCTTTCAATAATTTGCAGAATTAAAAAACTATCCATCTTTGCAATTAATTGTTGATTTACATCTACAAACAAAGAAATTGATATCTTGATAGTCCATTTTAGGATGAAAAAATAAGATTAATGACTTACACGCATTTATGTATTGAATCAACAAATTCACATACACAAGTCATATGAACTGGACAAAGGTTATAGAACACTGTTTTACAGTCAAGTTTGAAAAAAATTTCTCGGGTTATCAACTAAACAGAATTCTTTATCTGCTTTTTCTGGCGATTTAGGTCTGAAGAATAACAAAATAGATAGTATAGAGACAATAACAATGAAAAGTCCTAAGAAAAGTTACAGCGTTTTTATAGGAACCTGAAAACTCAAAAAAATAAACAATTTTAGCAACTCTTCCGAATTTGTCAAATGATTGTTTGATAGTTTTTCTCCCAAGACTATCAATTCCGTTACTTGCTCCAAGGGAAGTTGGAAAAACGTTTCTAATCTCAGGTTTCCTCCACTAAATTTGGATAATGAAACTGTTCAACTGCATGATGTAGTGAAGTCAAGTCAAAAACACGAATATTGTGATTTTGAAAAACTTGCATAGTAAGAGCTGGGAAACCTTCCTTAAACTGCATTGCTTCCACTGTTGTAACATGAGGACGACAAAAAAAGGTGTATCTAATGAAACAATTGCTCTTCCACCCCAAGTAATTTTAAGCTCTCTCAAATAAAAATGTTGATAGCTGAAAGAGTTTTCATGAAAAGATACTGAAACAGCTGATTTGTATTCATTGCAACAGCTACTCTTCTTATTGGAGCGTTGTTGAATAAATTTTCTTGTATGAAATGGTTTTGACGAAATAGTATGATAAAGGTTTGATGTAGGATGAAGGATAAAGGAGTCAACCTCGGATTTTGCTTTTTGTTCTCCTTTTCCTTTTTATGTTCTGCTTTTTCTTTTTTGAACAATCAAAAATTTCAGACTGACATTTGGATTATCAGATAACAAGTAAAAATTAGGTCTAGCTCGAATTACTTAAGTTCGAACTTTGGTATTCGGTAGCAACAATTTTTTGCAAGTAAACAAATCAATGGCGAGTCTCCCTTAGAGTGAACAAGTTATCCCTGTTCCTAAGAAATTTGCTCTATCAGTGAATGGATGCATATCTCCGATTTTCTTGTTCATGGCTACATTTATATATAAACAATACTTGGACACAACCCTGATTCAATATACATTGGTACAGTCTTTTTTTTCTACTCGGAAGTTTCTCTGCCATCTGTGAATGTAAACTTTCCTTCACTAACATTTTGTTACGAAGATGGGTACAATATTTTTGAAATAGCAACCTCCCATTTTCTTTTCAAGTGTTTTCGTTTGGGTAGAAAATTTGTGAAAGAACTCAGAGTATTATTCGGATAATATTTAAAAGAAGCGTTAGAAACTACCTAAAAAGTAAAAGAATCCAATTTTCCCAGAATTACTTCTTTGTTGAAATCTTTGATGGTGTATGTAGGAGGTTTTTTTGTAGATTGTTCCCGAAAGTTCAAAAACTTCATCTGTCAATGGTGGTTCGTATACCTTTTGAAAAAAAAAATATCATTCTTTGAAATTCTCTTTCTATCTACAACTTTGAGTTTGAGTGTCTTATATCTTTTTAGAGGTTTATTGTACAGAATTGGCGAGCTTAAATTAGTTTTTCA